CGCCTTCGGTAGAGTGCTATGGCATCACAGCTCACAGCTGCCTCAAACTCCTGGGCTTAAGTGATTCTCTTGCTTCAGCCTCCCAAGTAGCTGGGACTACAGCTACAATGCCTAGCTATTTGTTGTTGTTGTAGTTGTCATTGTTGTTTAGCAGGCCTGGGCCACGTTCGAACCCATCAGCCTCTATGTATATTACAGCTGGAGCTGTAACCGCTGAGCTAGGGGTGACAAGCCTTTTTTTTTTTTTTTTAATTTTTAAATGTTTTGTAGAGTTGAGGTCTTGCTCTGTTGTCTAGGGTGGTCTAAAATTCCTTATCCTCAAGCAGTCCTCCCACCTTGGCCTCCCAAAGTACTGGGATTCTAGGCATGAGCCACCATGCGCAGCCTGGAGGGCTCAATTGGTGTGGTAAGAGTTAGCTCCACTGCTCTCCCACAGGTGCCCAGGCTGAGCTGCAGGTGTCTGTGCCCCCCTTGGTGGAGGTGATGCGAGGAGAGCTCGTCACCCTGGACTGCACCCCCATGGGAGCCCATGACCATTATGTACTAGAATGGTTTATTGTGAGTGCTGGGATTGGGGGTGGGGAGGGCAAGGGGCTGGGAATCAAGGCACAGCAGGGCTGCACTCATCAGAGCCAGGAAGACCATAAGAGACCCTCCAAGTTGTACCACCATGTTACAGATGGAGTAATTAATTGAGGCTCAGCAAGGGAAGAGACTCTCCAAGGTCCCAGGTGTCTGAATTTGACCGAGTCTGGAATGAAGTCCTCCTTCAGACTGCTGGCCCTTATAAGAAAGACCAATTTGAGATAGACACCCAGAAAGCAAGAGGCTGGGGGACAAAACTAAAGAGGAGAGAAAGTGAGAGACAGGTGAGAGAGTGGCAGAGACAGGGAGGAGGAGAGATGGGAATAGCATGAGATGGAGAAAGGGAGACAGAGAGAGAAACATGAAGAATAGATAAAGAATAGGGGCCGGAAGGGTGGAGAGGGACAGAAGGACCAGAGAGCGATAACAAGAGGAAGAGAAGCAGCCCCCTGGAGCAGCAAAGACAAGGGGCGGTGGAGAGGGGCAGAGAGGCTGTGCGGGGCAGGCAGCGCGAGCTGAGAGCCTGCCCACCCACCCACAGACTGACCGCTCCAGGGGCCGCAGCCTCCTGGCTTCAGCCGAGCTGCAGGGCTCTGAGCTCCAGCGCACAGTGCATGACACCCGGAGCCGCAGCCCCTCATATCAGCTGGACTCCCGCGGGCGCCTGGTGCTGGTTGAGGCCCAAGTGGGCGATGAGCGAGACTATATATGCGTGGTGAGGGCTGGAGCGGCAGGTACCGCTGAGGCCACTGCGAAGCTCAGTGTGTTTGGTGAGTTTCCATGGGCACCCTGGGAGGGGGTGAGAAGATGAGGGTCCAGGGAGGGGGCTCTTGACATGAACATCTTCCCTATAGCAAAGCCAGAGGCCACTGAGGTCTCCCCCAATGGAGGGACACTGTCTGTGATGGAAGACTCTCCCCAGCAGGTACCTCAGGGATGGACCTTGATTCCAGGGATCAAGGGGAGGAGAGTACAGGGGTCTTAACCCACTGAGGAGTGGGCACAGAGGTCTGGAGTAGGGGAGTTAAGGGGGAAAGGGCAGGGGTCCTGGACTCCTGTGTCTGGGAAATAGAGGCTTTTGGCCCAGAATCCTAGGTCCCACCAGAGGAGGGGGCTAGAGGCCTGGTCTCCTTAGTCCGAAGAGTAGGGGACTGCCCGAGCTTTGGACTTCTGGGTCCCAGGCAGTATGGAGTTGGGAGAACTCCTGTAGGAAGAGAGACCCAGTTCTGGCTCAGAGCCCAGGGCTATGTCCACATCTGTCCCAGATTGCCACCTGCCACAGCCGGAATGGGAATCCAGTCCCCCAGATCACGTGGTATCGGGATGGGCAGCGCCTGGAAGTGCCCATGGAGATGAACCCAGGTAAGCGGTGCAGGAGCCCAGTGACTCATGGGCTGAGGCAGGTGGCGGCAGGGGACTAGCTAACCACCTCTGCCTTCTCTCCCAGAGGGCTACATGACCATCCGCACTGTCCGGGAGGCCTCCGGCCTGCAGTCTCTCACCAGCACCCTCTATCTGCGTCTCCGTAAGGCTGACAGAGATGTGAGGTTTCACTGTGCCTCTCACTACAGCCTGCCTGAGGGCTACCATGGCCGCCTGGACAGCCCCACCTTCCGCCTCACCCTGCACTGTGAGTCCACACTGGCCCTTAACCCCCCTACCCCCCGACCTCGAACTCCAGACCCCACCCCTCCCCTCCAGCCTTCCACCACTCCATGCTAAAATTTGTGCTGGTGTTGGCCACCATCCTCTGACCTCAAATGGCAGCGTGAGCCCCATCCTGACTTTTGACCTCTACAAAGCACTCTGAACCCCATAGAGTTTTATTTTTGCTTTTTATTTTATTATTATTATTTTTTTGAAACGGAGTCTCATTGTGTCGCCCTCGGTAGAGTGCCGTGGCATCATAGCTCACAACAACCTCAAACTCCTAGGCTTAATTAAGCACTTCTCTTACCTCAGGCTCCCAAGTTGGACTACAGGCACCTATTTTTATTTTTTTATTTTTTTTTTATTTTGAGATAGTCACCTGGGTAGAATGCCATGGCATCATCATAGCTCACAGCAATCTCAAACTCTTGGGCTTAAGCGACCCTCTTGCCTCAGTTTTTCTATTTTTAGTATAGATGGGGGTCTCTCTGTCTCAGGCTGGTCTTGAACTCTTGAACTCAAACAGTCCAACTGCCTCAGCCTCCCAGAGTGCTAGGATTACAGACATGAGTCACTGTGCACAGCCCCGCATAGAGTGGGCCCCACCCCTTCACACTTAACTAGGTCTCCATATGACATGTGGCCCCAAATCTCACACTGACCAACACACTGTCATCCACACTGACCACCAACTCTTTTTTTTGGAGACAGTCTCACTATGTCACCCTTGGTAGAGTGCCATGGCATCATAGCCCACAACAACCTCAAACTTTTGGGCTCAAGCAATTCTCTTGCCTCAGTCTCCCAAGTAGCTGGGACTACCGGTGCCCACCACAACGCCCATATTTTCTGTTACAGTTGTCACCATTGTTTCGCTAGCTCTGGCCAGACTTGAACCCACCAGCCTCGGTGTATGTGGCTGGCGCCGTAACCACTGTGCTACGGGCACCAAGCCTGACCACCAACTCTTGACCTACACTCTCAGCTTATCTCAACCTCTGAACTCTGGCACTCCATCTCCAAATAAACGTAAACCTAAGCCTTGAAGCATATAGCCTCCCCTTTGATGCAGGGCTCTGCCTTCAGCCAGCCCTGCCTGTCCCCTGATCATGGTTCCATCTCCTCTGCCCTTAGATCCCACAGAGCACGTGCAGTTCTGGGTAGGCAGCCCATCCACCACAGCTGGCTGGGTGCGTGAGGGTGACTCTGTCCAGCTACTCTGCCAAGGAGATGGCAGTCCCAGCCCAGAGTACACATTCTTCCGCCTGCAGGTGACCTACCCTATGGTCTCTTTGGGATGCCCAACCCCTAACCTCTGTGTGCACTAATGTCCACCAGCTTCTGATGTTGGAACTGGACGGCCCCTGGCTCAGCAAGCCACCTGACATGGTGACTCATTATCTCTGACCCCTGATTTGGGACAGTCCTGACTTAGCACCGTACCCAACTTGGGTGACCCTTGCCCCCTTACTTGGGTGACCCTTGCTCCTTAATCCCACTGGACCAGGGTGGCTCCTGAGTCTGGTTCCTCATCCCTGGTCACTTAGGATAAGCAGGAGGAGGTGCTGAAGACAAATCTTGAGGGAAACTTCACCCTGGTGGGGGTGCATCGAGGCCAGAGCGGGACCTATGGCTGCAGAGTGGAAGACTTCGATGCTGCTGAGGACGTGCAACTCTCCCAGATCCTGGAGCTGCATGTAGCCTGTGAGCCGTGGGACATGGGGGGAGGACAAACAGGTGGGGACCCTAGTACCGGCTGTCAGCTTGCCCTCATCTCCCCACCCAGTCCTGCAGTTGCTGGGTCATCCTGAATATTATACCTCCACCCTTTCTCTGCATTTCTATGATCTTTCTCCTGGTTCTCTGCCTCCTGAGTTCCTGCCCCCACCCCCTCCAATGTACCTCATACAAGACAGCCAGAGATGTCTTTCCAGAGCAAAAATATGGCCTTCCCCTGGTCAGAACCTGCCATGGCTCCCAGTGCCCTTGGGGAAAAAAACAGGTGCCTCACCATAGCCTTCAATGCCCACCTAGTCAGTTTCACCTCCTCAGCAGACCCTTCTCCCAGTCAAAGCTGTCACCTCATCCCCCCTCCCCCAGGTTCCTCCCCTGATTCCTACCTTAACTCCCTACCATCCCACCTACCATCTACTTCTAACCAATCTATTGGGTCCCAGGTTTCTAAGAACCCAAGTCAGTGCCCTTGCACCCAAGCCCTGAGCAAAGCCCTGTTCCTCCTCAGCATTCCTTACGTACCCCTTCTGGGGTAGATCCTGCACCATACATTGTGGGCATATCTGTGAACAAGACAGGCCAGTCCCCTCCCACTACAGTAGGGTAGACAGATGGTAAACACAAAGCAAGACACTTTCAGAAGCAATAGAAATAGCAGTATCTCAGTAGCAATATCTACAGAGGCAGCACTGATGAGGAGTTGTCAGGGCCTAGTGGAAGGATCGAGGAGTATTTCAGGTGGGGAGTGCTGCAGTCCACATCCTGGGGGGTAGATCTGACCTGAATATCTGCAGGCAGGAAGTTTGTGGGGAGTACCTTGGAATCCACACCTGTTGGAAGTAGGGAGGTAAAGGGAGCAAGATTTGGCAGGGGAAGAAGGGCTGGAGCCTACCAGTGGTCAACCCCACAGGGCACTCAGAAGCTGGGATGGCCCTTCATAGTTGTCCCCAGTTGGGGCGAGGCAGCCAGGCCTTTATGCCCCTATGGTAGCCAGTCATTGGATATGTGCTGCCCCAGAAAGGGGGCGTGATCTTTGGCTCTGCAGCTGAGGCAGTTCCCAGAGAGGGCCAACAGCTGCAGGCTGACAGCTGTCATCTTTCCTAGCAGCTGGTGGAATAAATCCTTCAGTACTGTAGGGAAGACCTGGGTGACCACAGGAGGTCAGGGAGGCTTCTGTGAGGAGGGGATATTTGAGTAAGAAACCAAAGAGTGGAATCAAACACACAAAGAACTAGAAGAAGAGCTTTCCAGGCAGAGGGAGCAAGTTCCCCCGAGGCAGGAACCAACTTGGTCTACCCAAGAAAAAAAGCAAGAGCACAGGGTAGCTGGAGTTCAGTGGGCAAGGAGGGAGGCTGGGAGATGACCCAAAATGTGGGCTGGATGGGAGGAGACCAGATGGGATCTTGTAGGGCCAAGGGTACTTGGGAGCCACTGAAGGGTTGTAAGCAGGGGAAGGGCTGACCAGTGTGTATCTTGAATGGAGGAGGACTGGAGAGGACAAGAGTGACAGATAGACCAGTCAGGAGGAGTTGGTCAGGACAGTCAGACCTGGGGTCAGACATGGAGAGAAGCAGGAAGATCTATTTTGGGGGTACAGCAGACAAAGACCTGCTGAAAGGATCTGAGAGGAGAAGGCAAGGAGCACCTCACACCCTAAAGGTTGTCCATTAACCTCGGACTCAGATGTCTGCTCTGGAGTAAAGCAGCAGACTTGGGTGTGTATTTATTTACTGACACAGAGCCTCACTCTGCTGCTCTGGGCAGCGTGCTGTGGCGTCATAGCTCACAGCAACCTCAAACTTTTGGGTTCAAGAGATCCTCCTACCTCAGCCTCTCAAGTAGCTAGGACTATAGGTGCCCACCACAACACCAGGCTAATTTTTCCATTTTTTAGAGACAGGGGTCTCAATCTTGCTCAGGCTGGTCTGGAAATCCTGAGCTCATGTGATCCTCCTGCCTCAGCCTCTCCAAGTGCTGGTTACAGGTGTGACCTGTAACCAGGCCACCAAGCCCTGCCCTGAGCGTGTATTTTGGAGTTAGATCCTAGATTTTGGCTTGAGGACCTGGATGGGAGAGTGACTTCACGGAGATGGGGACTGCAAGGATGAACACTTGGCATTCTCTGCTTATGATTGTCCACTGATATCTGCACCCCCAACAGCCCTGGAGAGCCCCCAGGCGAGTGGGTGAGGGGCTGGGAAAAGGTGACAGACTGTACCTCCTTCAGACCTGGACCCCCTGGAGCTCAGCACCACAGAGGAGCTTTCCTTGCCTTTGGGCAGCAGCACAGCTGTGAACTGCTCCGTGCAAGGCCTGCCCAGCCCTGCCCTACGTTGGACCAAGGTGAGAGGGAAAGGAGCCCCCTTGACCCTTACACCCTCTGCCTACACCCTTCCCTCTTTCGTCCACCCTCGCCCTCTCCCACGGCCCCCTGTTTGGCTCTCCTCCCCAGGACGCGGTGCCTCTGGGGGATGGCCCCAGGCTCTCACTCAGCTCCATCACCTTTGATTCTGCCGGCACCTACACCTGTGAGGCCTTCATGCCCACTGTGCCCCTCCTCAGCCGCACCCAGAGCTTTGAGCTACTGGTCCAAGGTACAGGGACAACAGGGCCCAGGGAGGTTTGGATGAAGACAGTGGGGCAGGGGGCCAGGACCCAAGGAGTCCATGGCCAGGCCTTCTCCCTTTTCTATTTCTCTCCTCTCTCCTTAACTCTCCCTCCTTTCCCTTCCCTGTGTGCCTGCCTCTCACTCCCTCCTGTCCCCACTACTCACAGGGCCCTACTGTCCCCACTATTCACAGGGTCACCAGAGTTAAGGGCAGAGGAGACTGAACGCAAGGCAGAGAGCAGCTGGAGGGAAGGAGACGAAGCCACGCTGATCTGCTCTGCCCGTGGCTACCCAGAGCCCAAACTTACCTGGAGCCAGCCAGGCAGCAGTGTAAGAGACCCTGACACCACAGGACCCAACATTCTCCCCAGCCCCTCGGAGGACCCCCCATCACTCATTGCCCACTTCTGGGGAACTGGATGACTTTCACCTCTGCCCTCACCCCCAGCCCTGATCCCAGGGGCCCAGCCTGACCCAAGCCTCCACAGCCAGCAGAGCCAGTGCCCGGGAGGCAGGGCTGGGTGAGCAGCTCCCTGACCCTGAAAGTGACCAGTGCCCTGAGCCAGGATGGCATCTCCTGTGAGGCCTCCAACCCCCACGGGAGCACCCGGCATGTCTTCCACTTTGGGACTGGTGAGGACCCTCGGTGGCAGGGGGAGAGCTGGGTATGGGGCAAACATAGCCCAGCTGCCTAACCCCCACTGTCCCATCCCTGCAGTGGCCCCCCAGACTCCCCAGGCCGGAGTGGCTGTAATGGCTGTGGCAGTCAGCGTGGGCCTCCTGCTGCTGGTGGTCGCTGCCTTTTATTGCATGAGGCGTAAGGGACGTCCCGGCTGCTGCCGGCGTGGAGAGAAGGGGGCTCCGTGAGTGGCCTGCAACCTCCAAGTGACCTCATAAGCCAGCCTGTCTCCAGTCCTCAGTCCAGACCAAAACTACCCTCAAACCCATCCCAGCTAACTTTATCTCCAGCCCCGACTTCAAGAAACCATCCCCATCTCCTGCCCCAACTCTAGCTACTCCCCCTCCTCTCCACTAGCTTCTCCTCCAAGTCCAACCTCTAGTCACCTGGCCTTTCCCTGGCACACCCCCAGCCCTGCCCATGAACTGTTACCAGACCCAACTTCACCTACATCCCCCCACCCTACCAGTCCTCACTACAAACCCAGTCAATAACCATCCTCAACAACAGGGCCACCCTCAGTGCCAGTCCAGACCTGTCCCAAAGCCAACCCCAGCAGTGTCTTCAGCCCTGTCCCCACCCCCATCTCTCACCCCAATGCCATTGCCACTCCTACCCAATTCCAAATCCATCCCTGCCCAACCCAGAGTCCATCCTGACCCACCACAAACACATCCTCATGCCCCATCCCCAGCTCCTTCCCCAGACATGACCACTCCCAACACCCTGCCTCCTCCCCCAGGCCACCTGGGGAGCCAGAGCTGAGCCACTCAGGCTCAGAGCAGCCAGAGCAGACGGGCCTTCTCATGGGAGGGGCCTCTGGAGGAGCCAGAGGTGGCAGTGGGGTCTTCAGAGATGAGGTAGGTGATGGCCTGGGCCCCCTAGTAAGAGGGGACCTGCTGGGTGGTGGAACAGCCTCCAGGCACAGGCTGACCTCTCTGTCTTCTCCCCAGTGCTGAGTGCTACAACTTCTTAGAGGCAGTCACTGGACACAGAGTCGCAGGCATCAGTCAACAGCCCTGCTCACAACGGCCCACCCCCACCTTCCCTCTTCCCACTCCCTGCTCTGGCCCTCCCTCTCTTCCTTCCTCTGCTGACCAGGCAGGGACCCACAGGGCCAGCCTGCCTCCGGGAGGGAAGGTAGGAGGGGGCCTTCCTCCGGGAGTATGACTCTCCCAGGCCTCAGAATAGCTCCTGGACCCAAGCCCAGGGCCTGGCCTGGGATGAGGCTTCGAGGGTCGGCTAGCTGGGGCTATTTTTACCTCCTGCCTCCCTTGCTGGTCCCCCCACCTGATGTCCTGCTGCATAGTCTGACACTGGATTCCCACCCCTGCCCTGCCCCCACCCCCCATCATCTGTGGACACTGGAGTCTGGAATAAATGCTGTCTGTCACATTGACACCATCCTGTGGCCAGTGATGCTTCTGGGGGGTAGGGCGGTGCAGGTGATTCTCCCCTCTCAGCCGCCTCTCCCCGTCCACTCCCTTGCTGGACCTTGGGAGAGGCCTGATGTCATGGAGAAAGAAATGAGAGAGAGAGGGAGAGTGTGTGTGTGTGTGTGTACCAAAGCACACAGGATGACTTAGCTTGCTGAGAGTGGAGGGAAGAGGTGCTGGAGTCCAGAAAACACAACACTGGGCCTGGCCCCTGAGGATCAAGGCCTGCCTGGGGGTGAGGAGCTTTCCCCTTGAGTAAAAGTTCCCAGTCTTTTGCCAGAACCCCAGACAGAAAAGAAGCTGGGAGGGAAAATCTCTCTCAGCTGTGGAGCCAATGGAATTAGAGATGGAGCTGCCTCCTCTGGGGAGGTCATGGTCCCACAGCCAGGATTCCCTGGGGAAGTAGAGTGGCTGGAGCAATCCAGATGAAGGGGCCTGGGTCAGAGAGAAGACAGACTTAGAGAAGCAGAGAAAGAGGGATTTGAGAGAAGGATGAAAAGGTTTAATGGAAGTAGGAAGAATGGGCTGGGAAACTCCAAGATGAGAGCCAGCCCTAGAATAAGACAGAGACAGAGATTTGGGGAGAGAGAGACAGAGACACAAAGAGATACACAGAAAGAAGAACTGGGATTAGTTGAGATCATTACAGTCAGAAGAAGAGAGAGAATATTGTGAGAAGCAGCCCAGGAGCACGCCAGAGGGTGGTAGGAGGGGGACACATGTGGCTTGGGCTTGCTGACTTCACCTCCCTGGGCCTTTCTTGCTGATCAAACGGAGAGAAATTGCTCTGAACAGCAGAGGCTGTATGGAGTCAGCACCACCATCCCGTGCAGTGCACGCACATGGATAAGACTGGCGGCCAGTGGGAGGTAAAAGCAGCATAGGTGGTGGGGTGGCCTCTGCACTCAGGTGCCTCCCACCTCTCATCTCAGGTGAGTGACCCCCACTCTCTATCCTCCATTTGCTCAGCCACAAAGTGGACACAAAGGGATCTGTCACCATGGAATATTGGCTGGATGCTCTAGAAGGCTCCTGGAGACCAAGCAGTCAGTCCAGAGCCCCAGGAGCAGAAGAGTTCATGGGCCAAGTGAAGGCACTCAGATCCCATGGTTTATTAAATCCATTTAAAATAAAAGCAAGGTTCTCATTTGATTTTGAACTGCAAGGTGGTAGAAGGTCCGCCTGACAATTTTTGCTTTGCAACTATTCATCCCTTGATTTAACCTATACCACTATGAGCACCATCTCTCAAAGTGGAAAATTGGGATTATTTTTTGCCTTTTTTTCTAATTTCTTGTGTTCATAGACTTCATTCAGGAAATATCTGTTGAGTGCCTTTGCTCTGCACTGTCGTTATTCAGGGTGAAGAAGTAGAGGAAGCCCCTGCTCTCTGGAGTTCCCATCCTTATGGAGACAAGAGGACAATACGAAGGATAAACACATTAAAATGAGGTTAATTTAGATCAAATATCTTGGTTAAGATCATCACTTTTGAGCACTTATTTAGCTAAATTTCATAATTTCTCAGATTATTCTTCTTGTGTGTATATACCCATTTTAAAAATTGTAGCCTCTGGCCAGGTGAGGTGGCTCACACCTGTAATCCTAGCACTCTGGGAGGCCAAGGCAGGTACACTACCTGAGCTCACTAGTTTGAGACCAGCCTGGGCAAGAGTAAAACACCATTTCTAAAAAATAGCTGGGCATTGTGGCAGGCGCCTATAGTCCCAGTACTTGGGAGGCTGAGGCAAAAGAATCATTTGAGCCCAAGAGTGTGAGGTTGCTGTGAGCTATGATGCCACAGCACTCTACCAAGGTTGACAAAGTGAGACTGTCTCAAACATAAATAAACAAACAAGGGTCAATGTAAACAACAAAAAGAATAAATAAATTAATAAACAGGGCATGCTTCTGAGATAAAGTGAAACATACTTACAATGAATGCTGAGGCAACATACAAGTACAGGAATTTACCACAATGGCATTTTTTTTTTAAATTTTGAGACAGAGTCTCACTATGTGACCCTTTGGTAGAGTGCGTGGCGTCACAGCTCACAGCAACCTCAAAGTCTTGGCTTAAGTGATTCTCTTGTCTAAGCCTCCCAAGTAGCTCAGACTACAGGCGCCTGCCAAAACACCAGCTATTTTTGGATGCAATTGTCATTGGTGTTTGGTTGGCCCAGGCTGGGTTCGAACCGGCCACCCTCAGTTTATGAGGCTGGTGCTATAACCACTGTGCTACGGGCACCGAGCCCACAATGGCATTTTAATCTTGTTTTAACTTGGATTACTCTTACTTCTATTGTGAAAAGGATGTTTCCCCGTATCTTCACTGGCCATTTGCTTTGTGAACGGTCATATACTCTACCTACTTTTCTCTTTGGTTGTTTACCTTTTCTTATTAATTTGTAGGCTGTCTCTGCGCAATAGAAATATTAACTTCTGTTTGTCTGGAGTTTTTTTATTTGTTTGTTTGTTTTTTCAGTTTTTGGCCGGGGCTGGGTTTGAACCCACCACCTCTGCATATGGGGCAGGCGCCCTACTCTTTGAGCCATAGGAGCCACCCCTGTTTGGGTTTTTTTTTTTTTTTGGTTATTTTTCGAGACAGAGTCTCAAGCTATTGCCCTGGGTAGAGTGCCATAGCACCATAGCTCACAGCAACCTCCAACCTTCAACTCTTGGGCTCAAGAGATCCTTTTGCCTCAATTTTTTCTATTTTTAGTAGAGACAGGGTCTTGCTTTTTTTGCTCAGGCCGGTCTCAAACTCATGAGCTCAAGCAATCCACCTACTTGAGCCACCATGGCCAGTCTAGGAATATTAACTTCTACTCTTATAAAACTTTTATTCCAATCTATTACAGGCAGTCCCAGAGTTACAAACATCTGACAAAAATGTATAACTTGAACTTACAAATCCTACAGAACCTATCTCATTTGTAACCTGGGGACTGCCTGTATCTGCATTCTGTGCCATTAAAAACAACGCTTTTAGCACCTGTGGCTCAGTGGGTAGGGCTCTGGCCCATACACCGAGGGTGGCAGGTTCTAACCCAGCCCTGGCCAAACTGCAACAAAAAAATAGCCAGGCATTATGGTGGGTGCCTGTAGTCCCAGCTACTCAGGAGGCTGAGGCAAGAGAATCGCCTAAGCCCAGGAGTTGGAGGTTGCTGTGAGCTGTGTGATGCCATGGCATTCTACCAAGGGCAATAAAGTGAGACTTTGTCTCTAAAAACAAACAAAAACGATGCTATAATGAATAA